TTGATTACCGTATCTAGAAGAATTAAAAAAGAGAGATCAAGTATTAGTATATAAGGCGTCCCAACAATATTCCAGAAGTCATAAACTTCATCCTAAATGGAAAGGACCTTTCGTCATTCATAAGGTGCTTCAAAAAGACATGTTTAAGTTACGTACCGTAGAGGGAAAAATAATAAAGACCCCTATAAATAGAAAGTTATTAAAATGATACTATTTTAAATAAGGAAAATTTAAAAAAGGGGTAAAGAACAAAAAAGGACATGAATTAATTAAACTTACCATTTTATAGTAACAATAGGTCATGACGTAATTGTCATAAGCAATAGACTTTAATACAATTTATCAAAATCTGTAACTACATTAAAAGAAAATTAATAAAACAATAACATTTTAGATGTTAAAAATTGAGCAAATTGCAAGTAATATAACACATCTAAAGATTGGGGCCAAACATGTAACCCCTAGAAAACTGCACAAGGATGAACAAGTAGGAATAAGGAAGTCGATGATTGTAGTGCTAAAAATTACAAATGACATAATGGAATAGAATCCCCTTAATCGATTAGTTAACGTTCAAACAATTGGTCATGTGATACCGTCGTGAGCGTCCGTTGAAGAACAGCGAAGTTAGAATAAGAAAGCTCTTTGCAAACTAAACATAGCCCAAAATCAATAGATAACTTAGCTTCGCATAACAAATTGTACAGAAATCTTAGTAAACCTACTATATGAGAAATAACTTGGAAATTTAAGCTCTTTGAGAGCACTAAACAAGAAATATATTGAGATGTGTGGATAATAAAATAATATATGAATTTATATTACAATATATTTATATGTGCACTACTTGATATTGAAGGATGCAGATACGTAGAACCTTATAATTTGAAGATAAGATGCCGAGATTAGAAGATAACATTAATCGAACATGGTGTTAAATTTGACAAAGGGGAATTTAGCCTTGTATGACCTGGTTAGATGGTATACGAAGAATTAATGACGCTTTAGTTAATTATACACAATCCAAGATATTCTTACGGACTTTTGGCTGTAGTAAAATTTTATAAGATGAGGGATTTGTAAAGTATACAATTCCACATCTCAGACCTAGGATTGTCTAAAAAGACAAATGAAGATGATCATAAAGGATTTAAATTATTATACAGTGCAGACAACCTAGTCCCGACCAATAAAATTAATATAATTCAAATTGCTAATCCTTTTTCAAAAAAAATAATAACCAAAAAATACTATCTTAAAATGTTAAATCAAAACAAGCTAAATACTCCCAAGTTCTTAAATTTTTTTTAAATCTATTTATAAAAAAGTTATAGCAAGTTAAAGTTATAGTATTTTTATAATTAAATATGAAATTTGGCCACCTTTTATATATATAAAAAAAAGCAAATTTGACCTCTTTAAACAATCAATTTTATTTTATATATATATTAAAAATTTAAATTTGGCCACTTTATATATAAATATTAGCTAAATTTTCAAATTAGCCTTTTCATATATATAAAAAATAAAATCTGAATTTGGCCACTAAAAATTTTTATTGGTTGGGACTAGGTTGTTCGCACTGTATGATCCTGAAAAAATCATATAAGACAGGGGAGTAATATATAAAGGTTATAGTTTAAAATTTTTTTTTTGTATACCATTTTATTAACATCTACTGTAACAGAAATTATTTATAAGTCTTTTAATGTTGCAATATCATTTTGCTTAACACTATTATACTTCGCAAATTAATTTATACTAATTCAATAAGGCTTGGAATCAGAAAAACTTTATTTCTCTTTAAGAAAACCCGGAAGAAATTGTTCAAACTATTACCAACGAATTATATACTCACCACGTATTTCAAGTTAGAGGAAAATGGAGCAATATTTAAAGGGAATATTATAATGGCTGAAATTAAGCTCTAAGTTCCTGCTCAGTTATTACGGAAACGAAAAGAAGGGCAGCCATTTTCGCTAGAAGCAAATGCACAATCTCACCACAAGAGTACAAGAAATGATATGCGATATACCGAACAGCTATTGATTCAAGCTTTATCCGTTATAATTACATAAATTCTAATATTACTGTTACAATTCGTAACTTTAATTTTCAAGTGAAGGGAATAGTATAGCGTTTTGTCAGTAATATGAAAAGTTTGTCTGGTGCTGATCATAGGGCATATTTGAAGTTTTAAAAGCAACGGTGCTCCATGTTAAGACAATCGAGCCCTGAACCTAAGATTTCAGTTTGGAAAATAAAAATGGTGAAATCGTAAATAGCATAAGATTTCCTTATATCAACAAGTTTTGACCTCAAGTAAAGGCTATCTGTACAAATTATCAGTATAAAAGATATCATAATTATAATCTATATATTACTATTATTATTACTATTTAAAGCTATAAGAAATTATACTACTAACTAATTTTATTACAAGTAATTATTTATTTTTATACAAGATTTTATATTATTTACAAAGAAAGCTAAGAGAATTTATTTATTTATTTATTAATATATATAATGAGATTAAAACTAATATAATGAAACTAACTGAAATTTTCTTCGTCTAAAAGTTTCTCAAGAGCTTCATAATAAGCTCTTGCCTCTATTTGATTATAATCTGTTTTGTTTCTTTCGAACCAAGGGATCTCAGATCTACTACTTCCTTCTGCTTCTTCAGTATTCATTTGTATTTCCTCTCCTACTTCCTCTATACTATTAGAATCTTCATCTTGTTCGTCTTCCCATTCTTTATAGGTAATTTTATTTAAGTATTCAAGGTTATCTTCTTCATTTTCTTCTGTTTTAACTTCAATCGATTTTTTTTCTATCTCCATCGCATAATCATCCCAACCAATTGTTCGTATGCTATCTTCATTGATAGTACTATTTCTTTCTTCTTCGTCTTGATTTCTTTAGTAGGATCAAATTTTTGTTCTTCCCAATCTTGATTATTGTCCAAAGCTTCTCTCCAACTATGTTCACTTTCTTCATACATTTCATATTTTTCCCGAAGTTGTTTATTTTCTTCTTCCACATTTTCGATCCACCAATCTTTCCTAAATTCTTAAGTTAATATTTTAGTTATAATAATTATAAGTTAAAATTTTACTTGTATTATTGTAATTCATTCTTTAATCCTTTTTGTTCTTCTTTTATTGTTGTCATTTCTTGTTTTAGTTCTTTTATTTTCTCTAATTTTACTTGCAAATTTTGTTTTTCTTTAGTTAATTCTACTCTTGATTCATTAGTAGAATTTTCTAGTCTCTAATTTCTAGATTACTATTCTTCTTGTTCTTGTCGAAATTTTTCTCCTGCTTCTTTGATTTCTTGATCTTCTTCATATTGTTTTAATTGTTCTCTTAATTTTCGAAGTTCTTCTGACTTTTTAGCAGATTCTTTTCTGAAATATCTAATGGTATTATATGTCGAATCTTCTATTTCTACTATTTTATACTTATCTTTTTCTTCAATATATAATAATTTAATTAAATAATTGATTTGATTTTTTCTTTTTTGTTCTTGTTCTTGAAATTTGTCTGATTGCATTTTTGCAATTTGTTCTAATTGCATAAACTTATCTGATAATATTTGTAATTCTTTATCTTTTTGTTGTACTTCATCAATAACTTCTTTTTGCTTTCCTTTATCAAATTTTTTACTATATAATTAATTATCTTATTAATTTTATTTTTATATATTATTAACTTATATATATGGGGGGTGCCAGTAGAAACCAAGCAATTTGTTTCTAAGTAAATTTTTTTTCAACTTTGAACTAAAATATCTCAACAATTATTAAACCAAACTTGATAAAAATTTTTTTATTTTAATTTTATATAGTTATAGAATTAAAATAAAAAAAATTTTATCAAGTTTGGTTTAATAGTTGTTGAGATATTTTAATTTAAAATTTTAAAAAAACACACTAAAAACAAATTGCTTGGTTTCTACTGGCACCCCCCATATATATACCTTTGTCTTTTAGGATGTCCGTATTATTTTTTGAATTTTTGAGGCATTGTCACTAAAGTTATTTTTTTAGATCTCGTAAAATAAGGTTTTAAGAAATTCTCCTATTGGATTATCAAATTGGCAAATTACGAACTTAAGAAGTTAGATTTTTGAAATTAGTAATTATTCTGATGTGGACAAATGAGTTAGAATGCTATCTGTTGATCAAAAGAATTAGGGTTCGAAACTCGTTGTAAGCGAGCTAATGCCTTTCTTATGGCCAAGGATATGGCATGACCTTTTAAGGATGATATACCAGAATAAGAATTTTTTTTTCTTATTACATTATTTTTTTTGTATAGTTAAATATCAATCACTGTATTAATTTATTAAATATTTATTATAATAATTTATGCCTGATATGTATAAAATAAGGTTGGGCAAATGTCACAGGCTAAAATGAAGGATCTACAAAATTAGGCACAGCAAACCCGTGATTGAAGCAACAAATCCAAGAAATACTGGTTTATTGGTTGAGGCTTATCGGCCGAATACAGACAAAACAATCACTAACGCAAAAACTGAAGAACAAGTGACGCATAAGAAGAAATGAAAGAACACTGAATATCAAGATTAGGATATAGTAAAAGTGGCTGTAAAAGCAAATAGTTGTAGTCAGCAAAACAAAGCCTTCTTTTACTATAATAATGTTGTAACTTATCATTGTAAGCCCCTTAGCTTAGAAGTAGTTCCCTTAAATTCATTAAAATGAAATATGTGAGTCATCCCCAAGCCCCTTGAATCCTTACATTCGCTAAAGCTATAAAAGCTTTAGCATTTTACTCTTCTTAAACAATATCCTACGGGATTCTAATAGCCTCTTTCTGATACATATAATAAATCACCTGGTCAAAGACCTTAAATAAAATAAACTATTGTCAAATCACCAACGTCATGCCTCTGGTGAGTTGCCTTAAATATAAAAATACTTTACTTTCGTGTTTGCACTAATTAAACCTACAAATCACCCCATAACAATTCTAATCTTAGCTTGATTATGCCGAATAAAATTTAAGCGATGCGATTCGATTTTGACATACATATCGACTATGTATTGTTGAAACAGCTGTTCTGCAAGTAGAAGTAGGTTACTAAGCCGAGGCCGAATTTGAAGTCTATATGCATAGAATTTCATTGCTGTCATGAACTTTCTACGACAGTGTATGCTTCTATTCCCACTAACTGTATCGTCTTTATCATCATCATCAGAAGTTTCACAGTGACTATGCTCGTTTTCACTAACTTCTACAGTTTTTTCCTCTACATCAATATTTTCAGTAGAATTTTCACTAACATTATTTATCTCAGGTGTTGATAAAAAGCCCTTATACAAAATTTTGCGTAGAGCCCAACTCTGCTCACCACATAGAAATAAAATTAGATAAGCCAATGGGTCATAACATCCGTTAAGCTCAGAAATATAAACCAATTGTCCCATTTTTGAATGCAATACAATGTCGTGCTTTTGAGTTGTATTAGAAGGCACATCATCATCAATCTAAATTGCTGCGATCTGAGAAGCAGTTGGCAAGTTATAAGTTCTTAGATCAAGGCCAGGAATATCAGCACGGATAAGCACGGATAAGTTTTTGATGTTTTGTACAGATATATTGGAAATATGCCAAAAGTTTTGCACATAAGGATTAACGCCATTAAGCATAGTTTTCAAATCTAGAATGATTGTTGAGTTAAGATTCGAGTTTGGAACTGCATTTAGTCTATGCTATAGTTCATGCGAAGTATCTCAAATGTACATTTGTAAATAACGGGGCTCAAAACCATCTTCAGGTTGAAGCGATCCTATTCTATGATAAAAAGTTCCTTGTACACGATAAGTGTAAACACCATTTCTTGCATTAGCAAGAGCAGGGTCATATTTAACGCCCGTAGATGTAAAAGCAAATGCTGAATTATAAAGGCGGATGTTATATCGAAAACCTTTAGCTATATTATCTTGATCGGAAAGTAGATGTTCTAAAATTGATGGTATACTGGATTCTGCTAACACCACCTTTCTATTGGAACAGCACATTCCAGGGCTTTCCGTAGGCAGTTTTATGGCATTGCAATGACTACAATTAGTTAAGCTATCAATATTAATTCTATGTGAAATAGGAGGTCTATTTGCATTTGCTCTTTCAGAAAAGTTTCAGGCGAAATTGTGCAATGGAGGAATATTAGAACGACGTCGTCATTGAGAATCAGCAACTTGTTGACGACGCTGTTGCCATTGTGTTTCTAATTCCTTGATTCTATATTTGCGCTTTCTAGCAGCTTCTGCTTCTTTTTTTTCTTGCAAAGTGAGATGACATGCTTTACACGGCATATTAGGAATGAAAAAAAACGAATGTGCGAAAACGCGAAAAAAAAAGTCAAAATAGTAAAAACAATGCATAGGGTCAACTTCACGTGAAAGATCATGTAGTTTAAGGGTAGAGTGTACGTCGATCATTTTACATATAAAATCGATGGTCTTTTTTTTTTGTGTAACACACATGGAAATCGAATGCAAATCGAATACTCTAGAACTTTCTATAACAAATTTTTTTATTACTTGACCCAATACGACCAATTATTCACTTGTACATGTAAATTCAAATCTTCCACCACTCCTTCTACAACTAAACTATATATTACGTGAGCCTTATTAGCTTTTCGTTCTAGTAAAATGACTTGTTTTACCAAGCCACGACAAACTAGATCGGCTAATGCTAGCTCTGCCAAGGCTTGCGTTTTTAGTACTTTCGGTTTTTTGCGGTTATCTAGTCCTAACTGATTCAATTTTTTATTCTGTAGTTGCACGTTATTCGAGAAGCAAAAAATCTCTATAATGTCTGATGGTGTGATCGGTCTGTCATTATTTTTACATAACATATCTACCACCTTTAACATGTCTAAGATATCAATTTGCGCATCCACCTGCTTTACTCCGTCTTTTACACGCCTAACACAATTATCGCATGAATCACAGACTGGCGGGGTTGGATCTGCTGGCCATTTGAAGTATCTTGACAATTGTTGGAAACGGCATTCGTAGGAGGTAAGACAGTAATATACCACTTCGAACAATCGATGCTGAGCATTGGTCAGGTAGAGGTCTCGAGCGAAAGTTTGTTCATCATGGTCTTCATTACTCATTCTATCATCCGCAATAATAGAATAGTTGGTGCGGATATCTTTCCGAGAGTAGAGAATCACACACTTGGCGCCTTTTTGGTCTCTTCCAGCCCGACCCGAATGTTGAATTAGATCAGCTATTGATGAAGGTATTAATGGTTATGATTTTTATAAATATTTGTATTTAACAAAATAATTATCATACTCATGCTCATTGGAATATTATAATGAATTACTAGGCGAACATTAGGCATATCTATACCCAACCCAAAGGCTGTTGTTGCAATCATGATACGTATTTGTTTTTTGTTCCATTTTATTATTGTTTCTGTCTTTTTACTTTCTCGTAATTGCCCATGGTAAATGCCTAATATTTCTCCTTTTATTTCAGAATTTAGAATTTCATATACTTCTGAGCAATCTTTAACTTGTGCACAGTAAATTATAGCATAATCAGGTTCTTTTACATCTTCTATCAAATCTACTAGTTGTTTCCGGACTGATTTGAGTTCTTTTCGATCTAGTACTGAGAAACATAATTCTTGCCGTAGGGAATTACCATCTCTTACAAGTGCGAAGCGATCAATGTTTAAATTATCTTGTAGATTCGCTACATCATCCCAGGACAAAGTCGCAGTTAAAGCCATAATTCGAACGTTAGGGTAAATCTGTTTTAATTTTCCCAAATTTCCCCATTCAACTCTAAAATAATTTGTTACCTTCTTTTAGTTTTGTATTTTTTTTTATAAACTATTTTTTAATCATATTTTATCTCTTACCTAAAATGTTGAAAATCAAAAATACAGTGAGCCTCATCAATTACAAATTGCAGCTTTCCTTCTTTATGCAAACGACTGCATAGAATTCCAAGAGAGCTATTTAAAAGTAACTTCTCAGGAGTAACATAAAGAAGATGGGTAAAACCAAGGGCTATTTCTTCAAAAACCTTTGACTCATAATCGATAGTCCCTTGAGACGACGCCTGCAAACCTCCACAAGGGATTCCAAGTTGAATAAATTGTTCCTAAAGGTAAAATCGATTAAATACTTGCTATTTATTTTAGCCTTTATTTAATACTTTATACTAACCATTTGGCTTTGAATCAAAGATTTTAGAGGTGAAATAACGATCGTGAGACCATCAAATAGGATAGCAGAGACAGCATAACAGAAAGACTTTCCACCGCCAGTTTTCATAATTACAAGTGTATCCTTTTTTTCTACCATGTAACTTTTTATCGCGTCCATTTGTTTTGGCCTTAGATTTGTAAATTTAAAAATATTTTCGGCAATTTTTCCAACACGCTCAGTAAAATCGATGGCATTATTTGTTTCGTCCACTAACATTATGTCTGGATCTAAAAATCTTTCATTCCAACCAAACAATTGGTATGTATAACATAATGAGCACAGGCCCTTGAAACGCTTCGAAAAAGTATGACAATGGGTGCACCGTATAGTCGTATCAAAATCCACGATCAATGAACCGAATGATGGATAAAACTCATTTTTTCGAAGCCTATCTTGTGCTTTCAGTTTGTATGGAAATAGCTCCTCGCCAAAATTAAAACCTATCAATTCTTTACGTTCATTAGCATACTTTTCAGCTCTTATTTTGTTACGTTGACGAATGTTTTCTACGTTTAATTGATTTTGATCAAAACGTTCATTTTCTATCATGGAAATATTAAGAGTGTCTTCTAACTCAAAAGGTTGCTCACAATAAGTTTCTCGAACTTCGGAAAGTAAGTAAGTATACCCTTCGTTATAATGTATAACTGCCATTGCATGCCTTACAGCAAACGATTTCCAATAATCTATTCTTTTATCTAGATATACGAGCTTTACCCGATTAAATGCTTCATTTTGTGAGGTGCGATTAAATGTGACAATGCTTTGACCATGAGGCAATTTGAAAATTTTTTTAAGAAATTTTCGAAATGCTTCAATTCGGCTTTTAGGTGAATGACAAAGAGTAGGGTTTTGTAAAAGAATTGTTGGATCATTTTTCGTCCAACATATATCAGGCCAACAATCCGAATGATCATTTTGGAGATGATTAATAAGGCCATCTACTTGCATTGTACGTGTTTCATCTTCTGAAGGTGCAGGTGGCGCAAGAGGATCTTTGTCTTCTCTTCGCAATGCCGCAGAATAAATGCAACCACGGAACCAACGCATTACATGATCCTCAAATGATTGAAAATTTTTGTCATCTAAAAAAAAAAAAAAATTAAGCATTAAAATTATTATTATTATTTTTTTTTTTTTAAAAAAAAAAAACTTACTACGTAAAGCATTTCTAATGTTACGAGTTAAATGCTTTAGGTCAGCAGAGATCTTGGTCACAATTTTCACATGCTCAAGTGTTTTATTAGAGTCCAA